GGACAAAGGCATCAATGAGATGACATACCACAGAAAAACCCTAACATTTGGGTAAACCCTTTAAGCTGCCTTCTTTCTACTGATGTTTTTGTTGGGAAAATGACATCATTTTGATGCCTTTCAGATTGAATGGCTGAGGAGACAGAGACAGGGACAGAGCAGAGTCCATCCTGAGAAGGGCCCATGGGAAGCCCTGAAGCTTGAACATGAGCCCGCTGTCTCTCCTTCAACACCTCTCTACATGTGCAGACACCAGCGTCCAAAATAAGGCATCCCTCCACACATACTGACACAGCGTCTTAGGACTTGATCAGGAACCAGCACTGGCCTGTACATAGCCCAAGAAAGACTCCTTGCTGTTTCCTGATGTGTCTCCGTCTTATTCACATGACACAGAATTTCTCAAGCCCTTGACATTCAAGGGATCTGCTAAAACACTAGTGTCTAAGCTCCATTCTCTGCTTAACGTCCAACCTCTCCTTGACCATCAAAATCCAGTCTGTGCTACTGCGGCAGGTGGTCACTTTGGCCTGGGTGTCAAAGCCCAAAGCCAGTTCTCCCCACATGTCTGGGGAAGGAATGTATCTATAATTGCACTGGAAATTCAATGAAACCTCATGGGGCACCAGGATGCTATTGTGTATATATATATACACATACATGCTTCTAGTTTTCAAGATCCCTTCAAAAATAATTTGTTAACTGCAGGCTGCCTGTTTACTATCACTATGTCCTCGATGTGGGAAGGTGTCACAGCTGAGCTGAACCTTTGTGAGACTTGTGGCTCACATGCTCTGAGACAGGGGCAGATGTCACAGGAATGACTTCAAAACGACCATTCTCCTTCTGGTGCCCAGTGGCTGCACTTGTGTTCTGGGACCCCATGATCTGCTGTTGGCTGGATTTGGCAAGTGACATGTTCCCAAGTCTCTATGGGAACTCTATGCCAGGGCATGGGTTCGAGACATCCCTAACAGGCAGGGCTGTGGGCAGTACTTACACATGAAGCAGTCACAGAAACAGAGCCCTGGAGATCCCAGAGCATGGCACACTCAAGGTCAGCAATGCCTAAGAGTTCTGCCTACAGATGGACACCAATGTTACAAAATCCCCAAGTGGGAAATGACCTCAGGAGCTGATTCCGGGGACCAGAAAGGGTCATTTGATCAGGCTCCTGGAACAAGGAGCCCTGCTCTGTCTACTAACAAGTACGGTTCCGATAGTGACAGTGGGAACAATTCCCCACCGGCCTGGGTAGCTGCCAAGAACGACAGCAGCAGGATTGTGGTAACTGCTCCCGTTTCTCCATGTGTTCGACACCCCTGCCAACAGTGTATTCTCAGCACCCAAACTCACACATGCCTAGTCTAGTGATTAAGAAGGGACCCCCGCCTTTTTTTTTAAACTCATCATTTCTGAGTGCAAGAATGGGCTCATATTTGATATCTTTGCATTTTATATTTTTAGCTATAAAGATCAGTAATTGTGCTTTGAAAACCTGAATTTTTTGAAGCTATACTGAGTATGTTGTTAAGTGCCGCTGACCTTGCAGTTCAAAACTAACCTTGAGGTTGAGGGCTTACCCTACAGCGCCTTACCAGGACTAAAATTGCTGTCAATGTCATGCTATAGGGTAGACATTAGACTGCTAATTGCAAGGTGGGAGGTTCAAATCCACCAGCTGTTTCTCAGAAACACTAGTGAGGGTCGATGAGTGGAAACCAATTCGAAGGTAACTTAGACAACAACATGCCTTCAGTTCATTGGGGTAGGAGTACGGAAAAGCGGTGAGGATGCAGTAACTATCTACCTTAAGGATTTCAAAGCATGCCCATCTCTTGCCTAAACCACCAAGTAGTTGGCTTAAACCACCAGCTCTGGTGGAGCTCTGGTAGCACAGTGGTTATGAGTTGGGCTGCTAACCACAAGGTCAACAGTTCAAAACTACCAGTGGTTCCACGGGAAAAAGATGAGGCTTTCTGCTCCCATAAAAATTTACAGCCTCGGAAACCCTGTACAGGGTCGCTGTGAGTCAGAACCGAAACTACGGCACATAACAACCACCATTGGATTCTTTGTGTATCCCTATTAAAAATTCAAGCCAGTTGCTCTGATTAGATCCTGACCCATGGTAACCCCATGTGTATCAGAGGAGAACTGTGCTCCATAGGGCTTTCAATTCTGATTTTTCACAAGTACAAGCACTAGGTTTTCTCTTTTGAAGTGCCACTGGATGGGTCTGAACAGCCAAACTCTCAGCTAGTAACTGAGCACGTTAACTCTTTGCACCAACCCCAGACTCCAAAAATGCCTTTATTAGAATATTCAAAATACAGTTTTTTAAAATCACTTTCAGAAAAAAAGAGTAAAACCTAATTAATTCCAAACCCAAAGACCGGGCAAGGATGGGGCTGAGGGGGACTTTCCCTGACAACAAATGAAAACCCACTCTGTGTGTGCTAGAGGACTCCTGAAACCATCATTCACTATAAACAGTTCAGTAGAAGGTCAATTCTATTCAAAAGGGTTTCTTGAGAGTATGCCCCAGGGCTTCTTGGGAAGGCACTGCCACAGCACAGGCAATAAGGGGTCTTCAGAACAGGGTCTGACTTGCTCATTTCCTACATAGATTTGGAGCACAAGCCACAGACCAGGCTCAGGAGTTACAGGGATGGGGGTAGGAAGCTGGCAGCTGAGGTTCCCTTGGGTGTTGATACCAGATGGTACAACTCCAAGTTTCTAAAACTTGCTTCTACAAAACCCAGTCAAGAGAAAATGTTCACTTGTTGCTAATGAGAAAGGGGCTGGAGGAGGGAAATGAAAACAAGCTTAATAAGGAATGTGCTGAGATTTCAGACTAAATCCTGACGCTGAGGTTCATACATTTCTGTTTATTATATAAGAACCAACAGTTAATTCATAAAGTTCTCCTTTTTCAATCACCTCCATTTGCTTTTCCACTGCCTTTTTTCTTTCTCCTCTTTTTAAAATGGTTTTACAATTTATTACTTCTCTTAGAGTCCATCAGTGAAAAAGAGGAAGAATAAGCCACATAAATCTAAAATACCTAAGAATACTGTGTGTGTTTCCATGTTTCTTTTTCTACTTCTTTGAATACCTTAGTCTTCATTTGATTCATTATTTCCAAACTTTTAGCATTTCATTAATTTAAGTATTGTGTGACATTCTAAAATCAAATGTATCACATAAAAGTCTGAGTCAAAACTTTAAAAATATTCCTTGTACATTAAATTTTTACCTATAAGCGGATCTACCATCTTTCTATGTGTTCTAACTTTGCACTGTTATATTCATGCATTATAATGAATGCACAGCTCCTAACAGAAGAGTGTTCAGACTTGCAAATGAGCTTTTAACAATATTCATTGGACTATGTTTATATTTGGCAGGTTTCCCACCACTGTTTAATTCCCAAGTTACTTCTCTGACGGCCTCACTAGACCACTGCGGGGTCCACCCATGGATGTCCCCACCTAAAGTTGGAAAGGAAAGCCAGTCTCCCTATGATGTCACAGTCTCTGAACTGTGATATCAGTGAATGAACCTGAACGAGGAGGTTGTCAATGACCAAGAAGAGAGTTTCTGTTTACACCCAAATACCCTGGTGATCAGCAAACTTGGGAAAACATCAGAAAGTTTACTTCAGGACTTACTTGAAGAAACACACTAAAAAAGCACAGAGTAACTATGATTTAAAGTCATGTAAACTCAAGTTTGCATGGCATTATATAGGCTCAGAGTGTACAATAACAATTTAAAACAATGCTATTTAGTTAAAAGAATATTCCAGATCTAGATGTTCACATTCAATTTATTAAATCTTTCAGAAAAAGTTCAAGAGCAAAATTTTAAACTGTGGGAAGCTCAGAATCTATGAAGTACTCCCTGGTGCACCCCACCACCGCCTCTCCTCTGAAGAAATATAGCTGTTGATTTTGAGAACATTCTGCCTTTAAATACTTGCCTATGATTTTATAAGCATGATATAGCACCCAATAAGAATTTAAATAAAAAGACACTACACGTAATTTGCCAGTGAAGGTATCCAAATAGCTTATTAACCTGAAACAGGCTAGCTAAGCACAAAAACTCAGTAAGATTCTGAAATAAATATTTTAAAATATTCCGATAAAAATAAATATTTTCTCTGTGCACCACCCCCCACACATCTGTCAAAGCACCACATACACCTGTCTTACTCACCAGCTCACAAAGGTCCAACTGATTTATAATGTGCCTCAACTCCTAATACACCTCTACGATCTGCCTTCCTGAGGATTATAACCCTGGCCCCCTATTCCAATGAGGTGGTACGCTCTTCTCCAAGAGTATGCCTCTGCTGGTCCCCAAACTGGCCCCAGAATTGTGCAAGCTCAGGCTCTCCCCAGGGCACAGTGAGGTTTCTCCCTTCCTCAGACCAAAGATAAGTAGCAAACCCCAACATTCCTCTCCCAGCCAGATTTTCCAGCTTGGGAACTAGGTGGGGTTGGGGTGGGAGGGTAGGGAAGAGCTAAATTATAGGCAAAACCTTCTTAATTTCTTTAGGACCTTTGCAAAGTATTGTTTCAACCATCCCAGAGCAAGAGGTGTCAAAATATTGGTAGGGAAAGGGGTGTTGTTGTTATTAAGTGCCGTTGAGTTGGTTCCAACCCATAGCAACCCTGTATAGCTCTCCAAGAAGCAGCTGGTGAGCTTGAACGGCTGGCCTTGCAGTTCAAACCGACTTTGTAGTCTAGCACATTAGCTCACAGCACCACACCAGGGCTCCTGGGAAAAGATTAGGGAGGAGAAAGAGAAAGCTGCATTTTCGGAAATGGAAAGAATGCAGGAAGAGGTAGGAGAGCTGAGGGCAAGGCTGCGGCCAGCTGCAGAACTGGTGGTGGGAGCTGCAGTCAGCTCTTTGGCACTGAGCAGCAATCGTCATCAGGGGTCTGCACACTGAGCAACCCCAGACCCTGGTCCCGGGGGGCCGTTCCTACCTAATCCTAGGTGCGGGTGGTGCTCCACTAGCGTCCAGCTGTGATCATCCACACAATGAGTTTTGTAAACCAGCAACTGACACAGGTCCCTGGCTGTCATGTCTGCTAGAATCTCCACCACTTTGCACGTCCCATCTTCACTAAAGACTTTAACATCCTGCAACATAAAAAGGGGACACTTACAGGTAAGTAACTTTGTTAAATAAATAAATAAGCACTGAAAGAAAATAAAAGAAATAAAAGGAAAACAAAAGTAGTGCTCCAATATATGTAGAACTGTTCTCCCAGTAACCATGGTGGTTATGCGCTGGGGAGTCGGTTCTAACTCATAACGACCCTGAATACAGTTTCCAAGGCTGTAAATCTTTACGGGAATCGAAAGTCACATCTTTCTACTGTGGAACTGCTGGTCATCTCAAACTGCTGATCTTGACCACTGAGCTAACCAGAGCTCCTTCCCAACAACCACAATAGTAGGAATCTGAGAGGAATACCTCCATAGCACTTTCTCTTCCCTCCTCCCACTCCCCTGCTTAAAGGGGCAGGGCATGGAAGATTATACAAAAGAAGACCCATTCTTAATATGTCCAGGACACTTCACAAATGAAACCAGAGTTTACAAACTGCTGCTGAACTACCTTTCTTAGGAAAGAGCAGAACTGGTTTAAAATCTGCGGATGGTTTCAGGGACATTTTACAGTTGAGTCAGTTGCAAAGAACAAACAAAGAAACACAAATCTCCTACAGTTTTCTTCCACTCATCACAACTTTTCATTACTCCAATTCACTAGGGTCCAAGATGGGCAGTGGGTGCCCAGTACCCTTTCAGTCCTATCCCCGGCCATCTCACATGGGCTCAGGCTTAGAAAGAAGTTAAGATCCATCAATTCGAATATGCTGAGACTTAAAATGGAAAAAAAAAAAATTGGGGTCGGGGCAGTGGGGTGGGGCATGGCAGGAACATAATCACAAAATTCTTTGGCCCCTTCCCCTTGCAAATGACAAGCACGATTCATTTCCCTGGTACCATTCACAATCACTAAAACCCAATAGCTCCCAGGCTAGGTGACTGTCACATGGAGTTTCAGAGGACTATAATGCCTGAGCAACAAAAAACCAACAGGAGAGTAACCTTTAGGGGAATGTGAGATGCCTTTAAAAAAAATCTTACCTCAACAGCATGGACAAGGGAGCAATCAGAAGAGCAAGATGGCATTTTAAATAAAGACTGTCTCTTGAAAGGAGTTTGTTCTTGGGTCTCTCCCCGTGTACCTGGAAGACTGGGCTCTACTGCCAGAGCACTGATGCTCTCAATGGGTGGCAGTGCCAAGCCTACATGAGCCCTTGGCAGGAAAGCTGTTTCTGGGCAGGCAGGGAAGACGCTTGCTCAAAGGCAGGCTGCTTCACACACAGCGCTTTAGGTAGTGAATCAAACCATGCCCTGCAGACCAATCACGTCCTTCCCTTGGACTGATGTAATCATTCCCCACACACTCGCACTGTAGTGCATTAGTCCTGTAGGAGGAGGTGGTGGTGGTGGTGATGATAGGACAACAACAACAAAAAGCCCTCTCAAACCAGTCAGCCAGAAAAAAATCTGTGTCATTTTCCTCCTATCAGAGTGAAATAACCAAGCAGGAAACCGAAAGCTTGAAGCGTAAGCATTCTCTGACTTGTCTGCCAAATCTCTTATTAGTCCTGTCCCAGCAAAGGATGTTGTCAGTTGCCACTTTTGCACTGGAATGTCAGCTTTCCCCACAGATGATCCTGCTTCCCTTGACCTCCTGCACATTAGTGCTGACTTAGTCTGAACTTTCACTGGAGCAGGCAGGAGGCATGCAGGAGAGGGCTAGTTGTTGGGATCCATGGCAACCTGAGAGGCGTGACCGGTAATGAAACTGAGGTTGGGTCAGCCTACCAACATCCATCTCCCGCCCCTCTGACGTCTCTGGGCACACAGTAACGCTGTGGCTGGCAAGGAGGTTCATGCCTAATCCAGCAAAAAATACAAAAAACAAAATGAAACCTCAATCACACAGTTCAGAATAGGTTTCAGGTGACTGTACAGGAACACAGCTCCCTGCCTCCAGACTCTGGACCCCTCACCAGCTCAGAGAAATCGCAGGGGCTGAGCAACTTGCCTTCTACTCACATGTCTTATTAGACAAAATTCACCTATCTTTTCTGGAACTCGGTTTGCTCAAAGAATCTGTATTGCTTCATAACAAAGTAAATATTTAAATACAGTTGGCATTACTGAATGAGTCACTATACATATGATTTAATTTAAACAAAGAAAATATGTTTCTGGTCTGTAGGTGAAAACTTTTATTTAAAACAAAGCAGTAACATAAAATAAAAACAGAAATTAAGAAAATGCAAAGAATAATCTAACATGCCTTCTACATGCCTTCGATTCCCTGACTCAAAGTGTTTCTAATGTTCTTTCTTCCCTGAGTTTCTAGGACGCTGAGTTAGTGACAGCTGAAATCAGCTCTAGCTTTCTTCTCATCCCCACTTCCTATTTCTCTAAATTCTTTGCTCCTTCCCCTGCTGCTCCTTGGCCATTGCCTTCCGGACTCTCAGCCATCTATAAATAGTCTGCATGTTGCTAGCTAGGATGTGCCTTGTCACAGGGTCACTCTTGGGGCAGGGTGGGTAGTGCAGGAGTTCAGGACCTTGGATAACTACCTGCTGTCCTATCTGACTTGACCTGATGCTCCCCAGGACCTGCTAAAGATAGAAGAAATACATGCAGAAGACAGAAAACCAAGAATCCCCACATAAAAACAGGAATCTCAAATTGGGTAAATATTTGGAGTTACAAGGAGAGTATTTGCAACGAATATGTAAAATAAACAAAGGATAATGCTGCACTGAGCACCCACCCAGAAGTTAAAGCCAGCAGGAGAAAGCTAAAGAAGTTAAAGCTAAAGCATAAGATGTACGGCGCCAAACCAAACAAAAACTCAAGCCCTAGCTGTCAAATTGATTCTGTCTCACAATGACCCCATTGGAGTCCTGGTATGGCACTGTGGGTTAATGCACTGGACTGCAAAGTCACTCTGAAGCGCAAGGTTGGCGGTTCAAGCTCAACAGCTACTCCTCGGAAACCCCATACAGGGTCGCTATGGGTCAGAACCGACTCGACAGCATTTTACAACAACATGATGACCTCGTGTGTTATAGAAAAACTGTTCCATAGGGTTTTCCTGAGTATTTGTATGGAAGCAGATCAACATATCTGGTTCCCTAGGTACCGGTGGGTGGGTTCAATCTGACAACATTTAGACTAGTATATGACTGAGCTATCATTTGTGCCATCCAGGGACCTTGTCCAGTGTCAGCAGCCCCTTTGTTACTGACATTGGCGGTGCAGAGGGCTCATTCTGGGAGCCCCTCAGAGCAGGCCCAGCACTGTCCTCTTCAAGGTGCTCCTGGCACCTGGCATAGGAGACATGTAAGGTTCTCCTGAGTCCACCAGACCCCACCCCACAGCAACCGTACTCCATGCAATGCTTTCTATCAAATATAATTTGTCTAGGGAATAGATGAATCTGGGATGTGGGAGAAAACTCAAGACCTTAGTCGCATATTAACTAAGTGACTTTCTTCTTGTTGTTGTTACGTGCTGTGGAATCGGTTCCGACTCATAGCAACCCTGTACAGGGTTTCTGAGGCTGTAAATTGTTACAGGAGCAGAAAGCCTCATTTTTCTCTCGTGGAACAGCTAGTAGTTTCAACTAGCAGCCCAACTGGTAACACTATGCTACCAGAGCTCCTTCAGTGACTTTAGGTAGGTTATTAAATGGCTACAACTCACTCTCTTCATTTGTATAATGTACAATATAAAAATATACAACAGAGGTAAAGAGGTGCAGACCTAGGACCCTGAAGGCAGCTTCTGACCCAGAATTAGAATTCTGAGAAAGCAAACCTCATGGACAGCAGGATGCAGTGGAACAACTCATCCAAAAGAGCTTGCTCCTGAGAGCTCATTTTCCTTTTCTCCAAGGCAAAGGAAACTAAACAGCTAATGGCTTTTAAAAATAAAACAGTAATATTAAAGAAAGCATAATTATGTCAACAGCATGAAACTTTTCTCAGAGCTGGTGGGGGAGGAAAAGCTTTGCCACAGAAATCAGCCCTCAACTGTCTTCACATTTATAAAGGCCCTGAAGTGGTAATAGAAGGTTCCATTGTTCCCAGACTCTCTGTTGTCACTTTTTATATATTCATTATGTAGAGTGAGAGGCAAAAGCTTAATTCTTTTCAAATGTAAAGAGGGTGTTTAGAAACAATTAAGAATTAAATATACAATCTTCACTTTAGGACCCCAAACTTCACTCTGAGGCCCCTGGCTTTTTGTCTCCAAACTACAGTTGAGATGATTTTTTACTCATAGAAACTCTATGCTGTTGTTAAGTGTCCAAGTCCGTTCCTACTGATAGCGACCCTGTATAACTGCCGACCTTGAGGTTCAAACAGATCTTTCAACCCAGTGCATTAACCCTAGAATAAAGTAAAACTGTCCCTTATGGCTTTCCAAGGGTGTAAATCTTTACAAAGCAGATCGCCTCATCTTTCTACCTGGGAGCAGCAGCTGGTGTGTTCAAGCTGCGCATCTTTCAGTTAACAGTCAAGTGCTTAAACACTGTGCCACCAGGGCTCCTGATGGCCTCAGTAGTCTGTAAAGCTGGACAGGAGATGGTCTGCAAGACCGCCAGGTTGTGACTCATGGACACGGTTCTCCTGGGCTGCCCTCCAGATAATACATGCCTCTTGGTCAGGCATATAGGCTTCGAGGAATCTTGCTACTGAATTCATAACACCTCTCTGACTTTAGCAGAGAGTCTTTGCCAGAGGTTCAATAATAATCAACTTTTAAAAATAGAAAATGGGGTATTCTTAGCTCTTTATCCTCTTCAGAGCTGTCGGTCTGCAGTTAACATGTCCTGGAATGGACATCCCAGCCTCCTGGCTGCCCACGGTAACCAAAAGCCACCAAGGCAATAAGGGCCTCTACACGAAGCAAACAGACCTTGAAGCTTGCCTCAGCCCAAAGTTTTTGGGGTTTTTTGGCATCTTCATCCTAGTTCAACAGCTGTCTCTCTTTGAGGTTTGGTTTGAACTACCATCTGTCATCAGTGGAAGCTT